AGCTAAATATGTTCAATCTTCTGTAAGAGCTAACTTAGCATTAAACATGGCTGGTGTTTTGTTTCCCTACTAATGTGCGTTATGGGTATTTTTAATGACCTGTTTAACTATTCTGTTAGATGAAAAACAAAATTTAAATATCTATTAGTCACAAATACTGCAGATGTTAGATGAAAAACAGAATTTAAATATCTATTAGTCACAAATACTGCAGCCTGAATCAATGGACACTAATGTTTATTAATATGAATGTATTATTCAATGCAAAACTATTATGGGAAAACTTTTTACATTGTATGTATTTAAGATGCTATATCAATCAAAAATGCAACAATAAAATGTAACTATAGGACAAAATATATATAAAATATGCAGCATTTTCTCACATAAACCACCAATTCAAACCCATTGTAAGAGGGAAAAATAGATAGAGGCAGACAATATCGGTGCCAATCAAATGCTGTGGTAACACTTTATTTGGATAGTTTACAGATAGTTTGTAGAGTTTGTAACATTTCAAAAGTGTATTAATTGAGATTCCACAACCTTTTTCTGGTTAAGGTTTGGTTAGGTCTAGGCATAAAAACATCTCAGTTAGGGTAAGTTGAACAGTTAAAACATTACAAATGCTCTAATAAACTGCCTATCAAAATAAAGTGTTACTAATGCTTCTTCCAGGAAATCACAGAAAACAAAAACAGTTTGAACTTATTTTGTAACTTATGTATATCTAGTTCTAGAGTTTTTTTTTAACACTGCAAGTTCAGTATTTTCTGTTATCAGCATCACTTTACTTTTTATTTTTATATGGTGAAGCCCAGTGTAACGATGCCTCGAGGAAGATCGGCCACGAGTGCCCGCTCAGACAGCAGTGAGATGGATGCTGATGGTACAGGTAATGTTGCTTATGTTGTTATTATTAACTATTAGCTGTTGATGTTCTCTCACTAATCTTATTTTGCCAGTCTTTTGGTTAAGAGAGCTACAGTATGCATATGGTGTTTTTTAAGCAGAATCAGAGATAGCCAAACTGCAGAGACAGTTCAGGATCATGGAAGGAGATCGGCAGGCCTACAACCTTCAGGCCCGGGAGCAGATCCGCAAACAACAGTGAATAAGCACCTACATCACATTGTAAGCATTGTGTGTGTTTTTATTTTAATTTTATTTTGCCTGATCAGCTGTTTATGTGATGTGAATAAAGGCAGGAGATAGAGAAGCTGCTGAAAGAGCAGGAGGAGCTGCATCGAAACCTTGGTGCATGTAAGAGCTTCACACGCCAACAGCAGGAAAGTGGGGACACCCAGAGTCTCTGTGCTCTGCTGGAGCAGAGAGACGTGCTAGAGGAGGAGCTGGGGAAAGAGAAGCAGCATCAAAAAGAGATAGAGAAAGAGGTGAATTAAATCACTCTATGATAGTAAGTTTAGTTTCATTTCATGTTTACTGATTTTTCTGGTCCAAAACAACAGTTTCATATCATGTGTCTGTAATGTGGGCAGATTGCAAATATGGAGTTGAAGCTGGCAGACCTGAGAAAAGGGGACATCAGTACTAGTGATTCACAGAGGTCTGAGGTACGGCGGACTCAGAAGACCGTACGCACGTTGGAATACAAACTGGACAGAGTGAGTCATGAAATTCAGTACAACAAAACACCTATAAAACATAAGTATAATATAGAAGTTATATTGTTATTTTCTGTCATATAGAAAGTAACGTTGTTCATATTATATTATTTTAAAGCTTGCATGTGTTCCGTCCTGTCTAGGCCTTGACTCGCTTCAATGAGCAACTAACCAAAAACGGCCACCTGAGAGAGGAGTTGCAAACTCTTCATATTGAGCGTGTCCGTTTCCAGCAACTACAAAACAGGCTGGACAAGGTCAGAGGTCGCACCATAGATAATTCACAGACAAGGCCACACACAACTTTAACATTTTAACATGCTTGTTATTTAGCCCATTATTGTTTGTAACGTAGCAACACTGGACAAGTTGATACGCTGGTTTAAGTTGACAAGAAAAAAATACCTGTGATTGTTGTGTGTTGTAGGAACTGCACGATGTCCGCAAGAAGATTGGGGAAATTGTCAACTTGTCCACTGCTGCTTACGATGCCAGGTCAGATTTGAGGGAGTTATGTAATGTAGTAAAAAATCTGTGCTATGATATACACCTCGTGTTCCTGCTTATGTATAAAGCTCTCTACTTCAGGGTGGAGGCTCATTCCAAGATGACCATGATGAGGGAGAAGGCAGTGAAGGACCTTGCACAGTACAACGCTGAGATGAAGGAACTGGAAAGGGTTATTGCACACGAGTGTAGCCTGAAAGAGTTCATGACCACCAAGTGCAGCGAGAGGACTGGGCAGGATGATGGCCATGACATGGGACACAGGCAGTGTAGGAAGCAGCCACAATACTGCTCTTTTGATTTACTGACAATCGTAATAATGGCAATGCTATCAGTGATGATAAAAACACTGGCAGTGATTATCGAATGTTCATTCAGAGGGGAATCCCACCAGTTGTCAGCATGTGCTCTATGAATGCCCAAGCACATTGTCCTACAGTATATCCCATGAGCACACAGAGAGAGGAATCCCATCTGTTCTACATATAGCACAAATGTAACGTCCTTATAAAGTGATTTTGACGCAATGGAAAAGCCTAATGTAGCCATATTGGGAATGGTTTTAGTGGATTACGTTGCATGTTCTGCTTCTGAACTGAACGTTGTGCAATAACAAAAGAGCAGATCTTATTTAAATTTAAACATTTAGAGGAACATCACTGAGCATTACCTGGTTTCTGTTTAGTTTTGTGTCACAAAAACTGGGATGGTTACCTAACATATGTCCTCAGATGTATCAAAACATTGCTTTTAATTGATTGGTATGTATTCCTTTTCAGTCAGGAACAATATGAACATAACTTCTTTACCACAACTACCTGCTAATTGCAAGTAATAGATAAATAAAACCTTGTTAACACAGTACAATCGACCATAGTACAGCCTTTCTCAACCACTGAGCTGCAGCCTACTGGAGGGCCTCAGAGCGACATCTAGTGGGCCTCAGAGGCAATGGTACTGCCAAATGGTTAGATTCATTTATTTATTTATTTTGGTAGATGACCAAGTTAGTTATTTTTATCTCTAAATGTGCTCAAGAATTGAAATGTTACGTTACAATATCACCACGCCAGTAGCGACACTTCATCAGGTACTAGAGACAACCGTGTTTTGCCACTGTTAGTCAACACTAATGCTCTCTGGGATGCAGTGACACCAAATGAGATAGATACTTAAACACAACACACCCGGGATGAGTATCTCCCTTTTTTGTCAGGTGTTGGTTTATCATTATTTAGTATTTTACAACACAACACAACACAACAAGACAGAAGTCAGAGTAAATATGGGTATCACACATTAAATCAGTAAAACAAAAAGGTAGAAGCAAGAAGACAGTGTTCATTCCTGTTGGCTTAGAAATCAACATCACTGAAACAGTGTAGTCAGTCCTTCCAGCGAGTCCTTGAACATTGCAATAGAAATAAAAGGATCCTTTTCGCAGTGTTAACTTGTGTCAACCAGCAGTAGCAGTACTGTTAAAAAAAGGAAAATCTACTGTATGTAAATTGCCACAGTGTAAGACTGTTGATGTACAGATCGTTGATTTAAGTTTGTCACATTTGGGCAGGCATACAGGAGGAATACGTGAATAAGAACAATGTCAGTATTAACTAATGATGGTATTGCTGGCAGATGATGATGGTGACAGTGGCTGCTAATATGATAGTAATGGTGCTTGTTTGTCCCAGCGTCAGAGATGAAGGAGCAGAGGAGGATGGACTCCGGGGAAGAGTCTCTGGACGCTCTAGAGGAGGTGTTTGAGAGGATCCGGACTGTGACAGGGGAGGACAACCTGGACATGCTGGTTACCAGGTTCATCCAGGGTAAGCGTTAGCAACCAGACTATTTCATACTCATCCATACACAAAGACGATGTTTCCGAAAAATATCTCTTATTTGTACATTTGTATTAGATTTATAGAAAATGGCACAATGTATTTTAATTTAGTTTACATCTCTCTACCTTCTAAGGTTCCACATTGATAATAAGAATAATAATCAGTCTCTGTTAAGAATATTGAAATGTATCTCATTGCTGTGTTGCTGTTTAGTTGAAGACCGCAACTTTGCACTCTTCAATTTTGTAAATGAGCAAAACAATGAGGTCGAGGCACTGAGGGAACAGATTAGCCAGGTGAGTATGTTTTCTCTGTATGACTGTGCCCGTGGACACACATGTCATTCATTTTCCGTTTTTAACTTATAGTCTGATTCAGTGCAACAGTAGAATAAACGTAATTCCTTAAGAACTTTAGAGTCGGGCCGCCCCATTAGCTCAGTGGGTAGAGCTGGCGACCCATGTACCGAGGCTCAGGGTTAAAATCTGACCTGCAGCCCCTTGCTGCGTGTCATCCCCTCCCCCCCTCCTGTCTGTCTTCAGCTTTTCTGTCAAATAAAGGCAATAAAAGCCAAATAAATACTTAGAAAAGAAAGTTTTGAAGAACTTTAAATGAAAGCTAAAGAGATAGAGGTTATTTTTCACAGCCGTTAGAGCGAGTGAAAGGGAGCACGTAGTTTGTTAGTACATATCAATAATCTATATATTTATCTGTTTTTTGCTGAAATGTTTAAATCTGCAGATACAAGCGGAGATTGAGCAGTTTCGAGTTGCAGGTTTGAAACAGGAGCAAGATCATCGCTCTTTGCTGAGAGACATTGATGAGCAACAAAAGGAAACCGAATCCCAAGCTGAGGACTATGAACATCAAGCCAGCATCATAAGCAAAACCCTGGATGAGATTAAAACAGGTTTGGAAACTATTTATTTATTTATTTTAAGGGGCTGTAATTTCCAAATAATTTCCTAGAAGTTCCTAAATTTCCTAGAAAGGTGTAATTTGGTAGTAATAAGAGGGGAACTAGAGACAGTGTTCAATTAGTTTAATTCCAGTGAACTGGTAGCACAACCTGGAGTCTTTTAGTCAGTGCACAGCAGGTCAGATCAACATGCAGAATGTTTTTTCCACCAGCAAGCATACAATTCAACACAAAATACATGAAAAACACTGTTGTGTACTAAAGGAATGATCAATGAATATTTACATGGATTAAACTGGAGCAGTTCCTCGAGGATTTTAGGGAAATAAACCTAAAATTAGTATCAAATTAAATATTATTTTATTTTCTTTAGGAAATGCCCCATGAAATTATCAGACTTTTCTTAAATACTCATACATATATATATATATTTATCTACATTTAATTAATATCTGAGGTACTCCTGACTCTTGTTTCTCCCATCTCACAGGAGTGAACAGTATTTTCTCTAAAATGGAGTGTGACCGCTCAGTGATAGAGGATGCACTCGGCTCCTCTACAGGGATCAGTGACAACAACATCATGTCCTACCTGGGTCTGGTGGAACAGAAGACCAACGAGATGCTCACCATACAAGCTTTCCTCAATTCTAAAGTAAATTTTCAACCTGTGGTTCGGTCCTGACTTTCCCACATACATTCCTGTTGTACATGCAGTACGTTCTTTCATTTCTGCATTGCAATATAATGTCTCTTACAGGATCTGGAGAAAGACTACAATCCAAAAGATCTGGCCAAATTTCTTTTGGGGCAAAACCCAGAACTGCTTCAGCAGAATATTGATATCCAACCTGCAATCAACAGGTGGGCCTTTTATCTTTTATCTTCTTGCTGATGGTCTTGTTTGTTATGTAGGTCACATGGAGGCATCCGTATTAAATTGAGACTGTTTCATAACCAGTTTCTGTGTTGGTTGGATTCCTCAGTGTGGATTATGATGCAGAAGAGTCTCCCGTCACTGATGAGGAAGAACGGCCACTGTCACAGGAGGAACTTCGCAGAAGAATTATAAAAGGGGTCGGTGCAACAGTCCTGTTGTGTTTGTGCTATACGTGATGATCACTTTTTTAAAGTTCACTGTTGATTTTGTCTTTCTGGATATAATTTATAGGTTCGGCAGAAAGAGAGGATGATGCTCCCTGGGAGACGCACCGAGCTGAAGCATTGACCATATCAGTGTAGTCAATGTGCACATATTTAAGAAATGGGATCCTCATCTGCACCATCAGTAGCAGCTGAAGGGTCTGCTTTCATTTTTCTAAAATATAGATCAGAGGAGGCTTTGACCGCTGATGGAACCAGCTTGATTGGCCATTTTGAAATGTTGCAGCTTGCACACAAAAACAGTTAAAACTTAATTATGTTATGTGTATGTCGCATTTTATGATGAATCATTGGCATGGCCTGAATATTACATCTCGGTGTGATTTGTTTAGTTGTAACTAATTAGGTTCGGAGCTATAAAGATGCCTTTTCAGACTCTGGTAACCAGCTGTCCTTTTGATGTGTGACTTGCCATCTGGCTTTGACTGTACAATCTGGTCTGAGTACAGCCCTCCTTCGCTGGCAGCATTTCATTACATGATACTTGCTGCTATGCTCAAAAGGAAAGGTGGGGGGCAGCAGAACCTTTTGTAATTTTAATTGGCATGCTGAGACCTTGATTCTGTTTCCAAAAAGGAGGTGAGAAGCTTTTAGCGCTTCACTGTACACACTGATTTTGTACACGTTTTTGTTGGTGGAATAATTATGATTTTTTTCCATTTGTTTTGGTGAATCACCAATATTCAGATTTCTGTCTTAAAATCAGTGTCATTATTCAAATAAACTGTCCTCTACAACCTTTCCATTGAATGAGTTCTCTGTTCATGTACACCACAATCATTAACATCAGTCCCTATTTAGGCTCAGTCAGTTACCTATTCATAGTGTAGCCATACCAGGCAGGTTACAATATTGCTCACATCAGGAGCTCCTCTATTTTTTTCCCCTACAACATTCAGTGTGGCTGGTAATGCAAGGAAAAAACATAACTTTGATCCTCAGGAGTTTCAAATGTCATCTTATCCAAACATCCTGGAGCGAGCCTGTGTTGGGGTAAAGATGGCAGTCACTGCAGCAGAGAGCGACTTCCTCTGTACAAAAGAGAACGTCAGGATGGGGAACTTATTTTAAGAAACATATTTTTACTAACAGCACAGTGAAACAATCTACAAAGTGTGTTACTATATTTAGATTTTAAAGGTCACACTGATGCCATCATACTTTTTTCTGTATCATGGGCTGTACGAGGCAGGGGGCTGATTTGACAGAAGCGTACCTGTATAAACAGGAAAGGGACACATGTAGGTCATTGTGTTAATTATCCAGCTTGTATGGTTTTAATTAGCTTATCTTTTAAAGGGTTCCACTGAGGCTTTGACGGTAGCGGTTTCAGGAAGTGAAACTGCTACTCTGTAAACATTTATGACCAATGACTTGGTTTGCTCTAGATAATCCCCCTTGCAGTCTCAACTGTGTGGCTATGAAAACAGATTATCAGAGATAAAAAGGGCGCTGTGGAAAAAGCAGAAGGGTGGCGGTGGTGGGAGATGAGATGGAGGAGGCTGCTTTCTTTGAAATTCTACTCTCACTTAGCCCCCTCCACTCCCAACAAATTCTCTGTGCACACGGCTCTCTGCATTGCCATAGAAACCTTCCTTTTAATCACAACAGAAACCTCATTTCCGACTCCTGACAAAGAGTCCTCATTGCCTGTACAGACCGCCTGCATCAGCCATTTCCAAGGCCCACCTCCTTCTGCAGGCTGTACCTACCAGCCCCCCCCCTTTACCCAGTCCTTATTTACTCCTCCTCTCCATATAAGCACATTTTCCACCTTTCCTCCTCCCTCGGCTCAACTGTTTCCCCATTCTCTAGCGCACCTTCTTCTTCACACTTCATAATCTCTTGTCATTTTAGTGGGTTTTTTTCATCGTTTTGTAAACACTGTAGGCTGCTGTTATTGTTGCATTTAGTTCATCTCATCCTTATTAACTAGTAATCATCCAGAAACCTACACACCCAACTGTGCAAACAAAAACATGCAAGCGCAGGTTGTGCTGCTTGTTTGCGGCCTATTCATCAGTTCCCTGTCAAACTGTTTGACCTTATCAACTGTAACGGCCTATGTCCTGTTTTGCCAATCTGTTTCACTTCCACTCTGTCTCTCCAAAAACTAATGCCGGAGTCCATTTTGTTTAAAATAAAAAAATACTAGCAGTTTATGATGTTTTACAACCTTCTCGTCAACTTTAATCTTTTCATCTCACTTTAGAGAAAGTTCTCAGTAGCGTGCTCTCAGCTTCCTGTCCCCGGTCTTTTTCTGCTTTGAGAACAAACTGTGTTAGCACTTGTAAAATGCCTTGTTCCCTTTATCTCGACACAAGACTGTTATCTGGAAAATACCCCTGTCCTCTGTCTCCCACTCTGTTCTCCTCTCTCTCTCTCTCTCTCTCTCTCTCTCTCTCTCGTTTTGTTTATTTGGGAATTGTGCCAGGTATTTCCCCAGTCAGTCTGCCTGCACCCAAAATGCTCCATCCCCTTGACGCCCCACCCCCCTCCCAACACTCACACCCTCCCACCCACATCCCACCCTCCCATGAGTGTTGCTAGGCAACCGCCCGCCATGAGAGCCTGTGCATTTTCCAGCCAATCAAATTACTGAATGTATTTTCAAACTGTGGAAAGGAAAGGAAAGGAAAGAGGATATCACTTTTTTCCCCCTTCTTCAACTATGGGGTTCATACTTTGCAGGTAATTGCGGCTATTTAATCTTACTGCACATACATGCTTTAGGGAAATGAGCCTTTGATCACTTTCAGTGCCAGTTCATCTCCAGCATGTTCTAGCAGTCCACCGCTGGGTGGCAGCAGGATCAGTTTCTCTGTTACCACACAGGCTGCAAGAATTTTTTTTACTGCTGTTGCTAAGCAATCCTGACTCTCATGTCTTACCTGTAAAACATTTGTGATTTTTACAGATGTCCCTGACACCATTTTGTCTTTGTTTTCACCATTTTGAAAGGCACCATATTCTATGTGAAAAGGCACAATTTTGGTTGCACAAGAAAAAACCTATTCACAACCAAAATACTAACCTTCTAAACCACGATATTATTACAACACAGTAGTGCAGAGACAAAGCCTATTGAAGAGAATGAGGTACCCACTGTGTTTGAGATCCAGGTTTAGGTTAAATACCAAAAAAAAGCCTTGAACAGCCTCTGTTGACTCCATCTCATCATGCGGGAGGCAGGAAATGTGCTCTTGAGCGATTAGGCCAGAAGCTCTTCTCTTCCACTTTACCAGCAGTGGAGAGATCCATACTCTGTGGGTTCATATGTTGTGCAGCTTCTTGTTGTCTTTCTTCACAAACCTCTTCTTGACTTCTTTGATTTGTCAGACAAACTCCAGCTGATCAAGTCATGTTTAAATGTTTATCAGTGATTAGTTTTCTTTTTTATACCCTCCAGGTTCCTGTGTCCCTCCCCCCCTTCGGTCCCCCTGTGTGCGAGTCCCTCATCTCAGCTTTGGTTGCTGTGCAGATGGTTCTTTGTTGATGCTTCACAATGGGTCTAAGGTCAGTGTGCCTCATGCCATCTACACACTCAAACTTCTCCACTCCAGCTGTCTCTAGCTTTTTTTGTAGTTTATCTAAAATGTTTCTCTATCGAGCATCAGGTCTGCTTATGTGTACATGGTTATATTGTGGTGAATTAAGAGGAAGTTATAAAACCGCAGATGTAGCGTAGGGGTAGTCTGGACCTCTCAGGCTGTAAACACGTTAACAGATATCATCTTGTTTTCCATATCTGAGCCACACCTTCTGTGTAATCTCTAAAGCTCTTGTCACATTTCTCGATTCTTGATTCTTACATGTGTCAGTTGCCGGCAACCTTTGGAACATGTGACATCTCCGAAACAAACCAGACGCCAGAATATCAGATCAGCCAGAGAAATAGAAATGCAAATCTACCATCTGTTCTCTGATCTCAAACCAACCCTTGTTCATCATTCAAGAGCTAATGTTATAGTTACATATTGCTTTACCCTTAATAGATAGTAACAAGATACAATGTACTATCAAAATAGTACACAGAAAGGAAGTAAGAAAGGGTTGTGTGGCTCAATATCAGTACAAATGACACATTTAAAAAAGCATTTAACTTACTTATGCACTTTTGGTTTAATAATCTTTCATCCAAACAGAATAGAGATTAACACTGATCTTTAACAACTTTAAGACAAGGATCATATATCTGTGGCAACATACATTTGATTTGTAAAACAATGATGAGGCCAGAAACATAAAAAAGATGTTGTGTTTGTCTGTCTATCTAAGTAAAATCTTCAGGGCACTACAAGGTTCAGCAGCAGAGGGCCATGAGGTCTTCAGGCCAGTCTGCAGCAGAAAGGAGCAGGTAGAGTGAAAGGCGGGAAACTGAAAGGAGGAGGAGCATTTCTTGCGAAGCAGTAGGGATTACTGGAAATTTCCACTTTTCTCTGGCAAGGCAGTTGCAGGGGTGGAGCTAAGAGGTGAAATAAATAAGGTAGTACAGCTGAGGTTGAACTGAAGTAGTGCAGAAGGGAAACTTTTGCTACTCTGTCAAAAACAGTTTATAGCGTGACCACATAATATTACAGTTTCCTTAGTTATTATAACGTTTTATTAATTACAGTCCCTTTTGATGTATAGTTTCATGTATTTTTTAATACCACATTTTGTTTGATTTTTTTTTCACTTATATCCATCCGATCACTGATACCTGTGTCTCTATTAATGTATCACTGTGTTCAATTATGCACCCTCATTATACACTACATCAATGTAATAAAATGCCACAACATGGCCACAATAAGTTGTTGAATAATTCTTGTGTGTTTGTATTTTTTGGATAAGAATTCAGTACTAAATAAATAAAGAATAAATGGATGGATGGATGGATGAATAGTCACTGTGGCAACACAGCAAAATATCCCAGGTGGTCTTTTCCCAGCAGTTTTCTTCAACACCTCCACCAAGCGCTGCTATGCCCGCTGGGAGATATAGTCCTTGTGGCTTGTATTCAGTTTGTTCTAGGTTCTTCTTCTAGTCCTTCAGAGGGAGGTCGGCACAGGCAGGCTTGCATACGCATTGATTTTGGTCACTGGTCAAATTAAAGATGAACAGCCAAGAAACATACTGTAGCTCCCTCTTCAGCACCATGGTCCAGTACAACTGTTACGTTACTGCAGCTAATACATATTAACGTCACTCATGTCACAATATGTTCTAACCACATTCATAAATAATGACACTGTGAACTATATGAACTCCTCCACATAGGGTGGTGGCTTTCCCCTCACCTGGATGGGATAATACTTCTTTTTATGGAGTAAATGTTAAGCCTCAATTTAGGAGACCAGTAGCAGTTGGCTGCTGCACCAGAAATGTAGCCAGAAACAAGAGAGTTGATAACTCAATGTCAACAGAACAACATTCTCCAAGTTTTGGCTGTACCTTCATATCCTGTCCATTAGTATCAAAAACAGGGAAAGAGGTAACACACAACCTTGAATAAATCCGACACCCATTTTTAACACAGCATTAAGTCCAGAGTGTATAGAGAGCAAAAGACTTGCAGCATTGGGAAACACAAGCTCTGGCATTTTCCAAATCCTCAAAGCACCTACAGACTAATCCATGCGACACTGAAGAGACATGTCAACCACAACAGCTCCAACAATATCCAGATGCAGGATTTCAGGATCTTTTGGCACCGTGCCTCAGAAGCTTTGGTTCACATTATGTGTGTTTCAATAAACGTATTGTGTTGTAGCTGTTGTTTTATTTTGTTTTGTTTTTTCTTAGCGCTCTGTATTATTCATTTATAGGAATGGATTTATTGTTCACAATTTGTATCAGAATGTAAAATATAGTTATTTAAAGAAAAAAGAAGAATCGTTTTTCTTCTTACACAGCCATAAAGACAGTACACACAAATATCCATTGTTGTTTCACAAAAAAGTAGATCTAAGGTATTATTTTTGCATAACTATATTACTCTACAGAAAAGTTATTATGACTCTTATATTACTTACCTTGCAGTTTTTTTAATTGAAAAGTATACAGTAAAGTGTACATTACAGTATAAACTTCTGAAGGTCTTATGGCAGCACAGCTAGTGTATATGTCTTCATTACTGTCAATAACGACTGTACTTAATTGTATTAATTATAGATCAATAATACAAAGAATGCTTCCTCACTCGCTGTGCATTTGACTGAATAGTTCCAGTGAGAAGTCAAATTTATGTTGTCCCTGTACTCAGCCAGACCATGCAGAACACTGCTGTTCAAAACAAAAGAGCTCAGTTTGCCCCCCACCAATTTCTCCAATTATCGGGACCCTTCCCCCGCTTAATCCTGACCTCTCCTCTTTGATGGGCCCCACTTTGCTCTAACCCCTGCCCCAAGCACTGACATTCCTCAAGTCAGGTCAGTCCTTTGTCTTCAAGAAATTAAGGTGAAATTAAGGTGCTGCACTTCCAATCCTACATCCTTTATCCTCTGACCTGTTAGCACAGTGGAGAACAGTTTAGCATTCACAGAAAGGTTTCCCCCAGGCTATTGGAACTGGTGCAACATATTTAATTTACTGTCAAACATGTGTCATTGTGAACACAAAGAGGCTTTTCTTTTTTACAGTATTGCTTTCTGCGGTTCTATAACTCTAAATAGTCTTAAAAAACTTTTCCAGTTCCTACTTGTGGAAAGTGTGGTAAACACTCCCGTTGTTGGCAAATAAGAAGTTTATAAAAATCACAACATGAATTGCATCTCTTTTTCTACTTTTCCTTGACTGCCCTATTGGCTGCAACAGTTAGGTTAACTTCTTTACCTGCAAAATGAACAGGCTGCCCATAGACAGATTTTTTCTTTGTAACAGATTGGTGGCACATGGAAACATGTCGAGGTAGGCAAATGAGGGGGGAAAAAAGACAGGAAATGATCTCACAAACACCCCCCCTCTCTCTGATTGCTCCCATTTTCCAGTTACAGAAAAGAGTGAGTAATGCCTGTATTTCAGTCTGCTCTTCTGCTCCTCCCATGGACCTACTGAAGTTTCTGCACACACTGAGGCCATTACATTGTGGATGTCTGCTTCAATGCTCTGCAGTCTCCACATGGTCTTCATTTCCCACACAAAAGGATAACACTTAATGCAATGCTAGGATGAGCCCTTGTCTTGTTAGCAGGTTTAATGTGATGGTAGAGCAACAGACTCAGCTTAAATGAAAAAATAAACCCTTATGTGAGACAGAAAATAAATCTCAAAGTAACCCGCTAGTACACTGACACACAACTCTTTGATCTCTGCATGTTAATTACAGTCTTTATAATTATATTTCAGCTGAATGTGAGGTGAATGACTAAATAGGGTCTGGAGGCTTCTGCAAAATCAGTGGCTTGTATTCTGGCATGGCATGGAGAAGATAACTGAGGCGGTATAGGATTAGGTCCCAGTAGGCCCTAAAATTAGAGGCTAAAATAAATACTTGAGTCAAGATATCCTCCTTGCCTGTTTGGGAAATTTCAGGATACAAACATTAGTAGGGCTGTCTAGAAATATTTTAAGTGGAAATTACACTGTTGCTCTGACAACTATCTGATAATATCTATCTATCTATCTATCTATCTGATAACTACAGGTGAATGTTTCATGAAAATAAATGATAGCTGCGTGTGGGCGAAAACAATGACAGGCGTGGCAAATAGTGTTGTTCACGGTCAAAGGATTTTGTCGATAGTTGAGGAATTCAATTGTGTCGTTCCACAGAATATGTAGATTTCACCTGTGAAAAAAAAAAGTTTTTCCTTTATTTGACTTACAGTGAGGCACTGACCATAAACAGGCTGAAATTACAGAGTTCAGGGCCCACAAAGTTGTGTGTTGCCACTTCCTTTGGTTTGACAGTTGGATGAGCGCAGTGACGAGCAAAGAAAGTTCCCCTCAGAAAACTCCTGAAGAAGGTAAAAAGCCAGTATAGGTCATCAATAAGACCAAAGGGTTCTTAATTAACAGGAAAAGGGGAAAATGTCTGCAGGTAAAGAATGTTTAAATCATGTTTTGTCAGACCTGAAATATAAATGAGAGACATTACAGTTTCAGAAGCGTCTGTGAGGTCTGGAAAATCCCTTCAAGACGCTGTATTCATAGAGCGAATACTATGATTTTTCATGTGTTTGTGTTGCTCTGATAGCAAGGTCACTTCTATTGTGTGATTTAGACTTCGACTCAGATGTATTTGCAGAGGCCCCTCGTCCGCTCTGAAAAGTGTAGGCTACTCACTATCACCTTTAATAGTATACAATGACAATAGTTGTGAATGCATACTGTAAAGCTTTCCACACAGTAGCTACTGTAGGCACACACACACTTGCGGTAGTTAACTATATCACACCTCACACCCCATTGTTGTCTCTGATAGACTCACAAATCACAAAGCAATATATTTATGGTTTAGCCTATCCTCAGTCAGTGTGTGAAACATGTTTTCTTTCTTTTGCTGTTTCAAATATTGCCTGAAACTGACTATTAGGTTCCCTTACTGATGGTTCTAATACTAAGCGGGAACTATAATAATCTAAGTTTAACTGACATTTATAAATTCAAATACATGGATATCTTTTATTTATTTTATTTGTATTATTCATTGTTTGTCCAGTTTTAGTGTTTGAAAGATTTTTTGTATAATTGATGTATAGCTCTCAGGCTTTAGAAGTATGTCTTTAGATGATATAGTTTTGTAATAGAATAAATTGCTTAGGCTAATTGTGATTTGTGTGTTTAATGTCCAAATTGCACTGTTACTGACTCAATTCAGTCAGGTTTGCAAGATAGTGAAAGTATAAGCACACTTAAGCAGGAACACATGTCGTTACAAGTGTTAAATATAGAAAGGGGGAGGGGCCGCATGGTTTTCACTTCGTCACATTATTCATTTTTGCATGTAATTTGACACCCCATCTCTGCAGAGAAAGAGCGCTAAGACAAAAGATTCCGTCCATGTTCATGTATTTATAAACTTTTACAATCCATCTACTAAAGAGAACATTCAGCCGTCAGTAGATTCTGGTAGATTATAATAACTTTAACAACGGGGCACTTACATCCATTGTTTAAATTTGGGTAAAAGATCAATCGCTAACTGATGGGTAGTAGGAAAAAAAAAAAAAAGAACTGTGGTATCATAGTGCAGCGCTTTAAAACAATTGACCAATCAACGATGAGATATCCAGTAGGCGGGACGTCTCGTCAAGATTGACAGGAAATTCCTCCAATAGAATGCTCCGGGGGTCGACATCGACCAATCAGGTGCGGGATGGACTCGCTGTATCCAACGAGAGTAGATTTTCAACGAGCTCGAGAGAAAAGCGGAGACGGGCAGACATCATTTCTCCCTCAGCGTCTTTGGACTATCCACACGGAGGCAAAGAGCTAAGAATAAATAAATAAAAAACAACAAAAAACCTTTTTTTCTGAACAGGAATATAATATAATTCACTAAATTAACCATGGCCGACACAGCTGTTGACACGACTGCAACTGCAGAGGTTACCGCCAAGGTGCGTTTCATTGTTTTCTTGTTTTTCTTTTTTTTTCCGGTTGAACTGTCGTGTTAAAAGATTTTGTGAACTTTTTTTTTTTTTTTTAGAAGTTGTTGTTTTATTTGTGTTAACAGTTGATTAAGCTAGGTTCGTGTTCAGTAAACCTCGGTTTATTCGGCGGCTGTAATAAACGTTACCATTAATGTTACTTCATGTAAGTTAAAACAATAATTGCGGGAGGGGGGCGAAATGTCAATTACTTAAATAACTGTTATCTTGAAATATCACTTGTCGACAGTCATACTCTACAGAAGTGGACTTGTTTGTAAATTTTTTTTAGCGTCGACAGCTAAATAATGTGTCTGGAAACTCCAACGTATGTGATGTGGTTTGCTAAAAAATGTCTTGTTGAGCAGACAAAGCGGTAGAAACGGTACAGCTGGTTGAAGCGGCGCTGCTGCTGTGGGCGGGAAGCCACAGTAACCTTAACGCTACATTACCGGTTTGCGATAAAAAATAAAAAAAACCTTCACTAGTACCACTGTTGCATTATAAGACACTCTTCCTTCATTTAGAGTTAAATCAGATACGACAAACGAGCTTTCTTCTAATTAAAACCAGACCGCGGCGAGCAGCGTGTGACACTATATCAGAATAAACTCTTAATTTAAGGGACGTGCTTTTATTTTGTAGGAGCTGAAGGAGAAGAAAGAAGTAGAAGTGGTGGAGAAGGAGAAGAAGGAGAAGGAGGAGAAGAAGAAGACCGACAACGGAGACGCACCTGCCAATGGCACAGTGAGTTTTGAGACGAGGACCAGCCTCATGGCCTTTTGTCTTTGCACCCCTCATCATGCAGGTGTCGCTGCACACCCGCCTCTCTCCCCCCTCTTCCTCCTGTTCAGCTGCTCTCCACACAGTGGCTTTGTTTGGGTTGTGAAATGGCACAGATGTTAGTTAGCAAGTCCGTAGACGGTTTTTTTTCCTTTTTTCATTGGTGTCTCAAGTCCTAATCCTCTGGGGAGTGATAAGAGCTTCACACACACATGCCCTTTTTAAGTGTTCCCAGAGGAGTCTGTACATGTAAGACTCTGGGAGGATTATTTCAGATATGTTTGGGATTCAGTGTTTTGATCTATTTGTGTACTTTTTGCATTCTCTTTCTAATGTTGTCCATAACTCACATTTTTAAAAAAAAAGGCCTAATTGTGACACATGGTGTGTTATGGATTGACATTTTCCCTCTCTTCATTCAGAATGGTGCTGATCACAGCGACAAAGTGGAAAAACCCACAGAGGAGAAAAACGGAGATGGTATGTTCATATAAAGCACCATTACTACTGTATTCAGAAAAAGGACTGTTTAATAAGTCTCTACATTTCTTATTCTTATCTCATTGCTTATGAGTTGCCTCAAAAATGCTGGTGTGTGTGTGTGTCCTTGAGTTCAAGACGAGACACATTTTCCCCATGAATCTTGTCCTGATTTACACCCAAAAGTAAAGGATGTATTTTCTGAAGTGACAAACTGTCCTTACAGGGAAAGCAGAGGAGGCGCCCCCTGCTGAGGAGACTGAAGCACAGCCTGTGAAGCGTGCAGCTGAAGAGGAAGAGGTGGGTTGTCACCAGTCTGAAACCATACAATCATAAACAATTGTTATGTGTTGACTAATCTGGTGATCTTTGCTAATGTATGAAATGTGTTTATTTTTATTTTTATATTAGGAGAAGGTGGAGACAAAAAAGCAGAAGACAGAGGAAAATGGAGATTCAAAAGAGGCAGAAGTGGAGGCTTAAGTCTCTGCCCTGCTACTTGTTTGCAGCACTGTCTTACCAGCCTGGTCAACATTGTGTTGTAGAGCTTGTGCTTTCTGTATCTTTTGAAAAATATTTCTTTTTGTTTGCTCCCATGTTATCACATTGCACTGGAGTCCTGAAACATAGTGGCCCTGCATTCTTTTTTTATGAAATGTTATTTATTGGTCTTCAAAATGAGCTTTTTTTTTTATTACTTGTACAAATAGGGCCACACCATGAGACCAGTTTTTTTTTTTTTTTTTAATTTCTTGAGGTTTTATATCGGTATGTTAGAAGCACAATCTCTGATGTCAGTGCTGACCAGATGATTCATTCATACAGGCAGCTGCTCACCTCCTCCCAGGCTCATGTTGACCTCTCAGATTCACTTAAAGGACCAAAGATAAGTTTTAAGCAGGGGCTAATAGACAGTTGTTAGCATTATTAGTTGAGGCATGATTTTTTTTTGTGTTGAGCTGCTACTTAATCCTTGGCTTGGCTGCCCTGTTAACATAACAGATGGTGCAAATGAATAAAGGTGCTCTGTCTTGTGCCTCCATGATGAGATTACTTGATCTTGTGTTTGGAGGCAGGATTTTGCGATGTTAATTAACCCCTCTTAAATCTTAAAGCTTTGGTCATTTGTTCTGTATGCATTCCACGCAAGTTTGTACCATTTATACTTTGTTTTTCTTAATGAGTTTTATGTTAATGGCTGGGTGGCCCAGTTTTGTGTCCAAGACTGCCTTTTTCAGAACCAGAATGACATTCGGTTACTTCAGCCACTGCTTTGTATATTCTGATTAACAAATAAATTGTCTTTTTACTTAAGTAGATCGACTTTGTGTGTATGTTACATGTGTAAATATCATCACTGCTTCTTAAAACCATGGCTTTTTAAGTAGATGATGTCACTTGACCCATTTTTTTTTTTTCTTAACATGGAAAATGGCTGGCTTAGATGCAGGAAGGAACAGGAATAAGCTCACTCACTTGGTAATGGAAAAGGGTGCACAGAATCAATGAATTGTGGTTTTGGGTCTTCTGGCTCCCCCGTGTGGTGTACTTAAAGATTGCAGATCACTATCTCAAGTCAACTAGAGTGACCACTGGTCTGGGCAATCATGATAATCAGTGACAAAAGTATAACAATAATTCACACAGGAGTCCAAAATGGCAAAATTATCATTTTAGTTTTAAATGAACCCTGAATAAAAGTAGCTTTTACAGTAACACTGCTAATATTGAGCAATAGGTGGTACCATAGAACACAAAAACTCAGTGTTTTGTTATTTTTCTCAAGCAAGCTGCAACAGCATGATCCATACAGTTACTGTTTCCTCAGAAACGTTAGCATGGCGTGCATCCAGTCAGTCCAGGAGGCTTTAATAGTAGGCAATTATTGACATTCTGCTGAGGCAGCAATTATGACTGGCACCATAATGTTGGGGTGATCAGTGTGTGAGCCAGTCAATGAAACCATCACAATGGTCAGCATAAAACAGGTCATATACTAAAGTTAACCTCTTGGGGAAAGCCCTGAAGTCATGTATGGTGCGTGTGTTGAGGCTGAACAGACAAAGCATACTGTTTTCCATGGCACAACAGATGTAAAAAATAAATTACATGTACCATTTTTCTGATGAAGATGGCTTCTTTAGAATGGAAAAAGGGGAAAGAAGTTGAATACTTCCTGTGAGGAACTCTGATAACAAATGAGAGGTCATCACTATACTGAGTTGATGGGCTGAGCGTGGTGGAGCAGAAGCCTTCTACCTAAAGCATGCGCCCTAAAGATGACAATAAGCACTTGCTGCTGGCTCTAAGAACCCCCACAGTCTTTTCTTTCAATGTTGTCCACCTGCAGGGTTACCCATAGTTCACATGAGTCTTCTCCCTGTTTGCTGTTCTTCTGTTTTGTTCGGTTTCCGACTGACTGTTGATTCACACCCCAGTTTCAACTTCTCCTCTTCCTGATAATGACAAGAATCACTGTCATTATTACAATGGCATTGCCAGGAGTAGGGTGACAGCTCACGGCTGTCCATGGCTTAGTGAGGGCCCAGACAGAATTTGCCACCAGCACACATTTCTCTGTGTTTTTTGAACATTTGTGTACCAGTGTGTGTCATCCTATTAGTCATGGCTCTATGCTGAGTTTAATTGGCATTGTACTGATACTTGGGACTTGATTAAGAGTCACCCAGCACCAAAGTGTGAAATTTGGGGGATAGCACTCATAATGACTGGACTGTGTGGAAAGTGTTGTTTTTATTTGCTGTTAAAATGTGAACAATGTGAAGCCCTTCAAGACTGTAATTGTGATTAAGCGTTGTTCAGCTTCATGTGAATATTCAGTATGTGTTTGCTAAATTATGCCAGAAGAGCTCTTGAATTAATGAAGTATTAACGTGTGAGTGGTCACTGGCAGCACATTCATTTAGTCAGATAGACCTGCCTAAGGTGTGATGCTAATATGCTAACTCAGAGAAACAGGCAGGTAGACATTCCCTTGGCCGTATGACCAAAACAAAATTTTAACACAAGGCTTTGAGAGATTTACGTTGCAGCTCATGCAGACATTAGGCAACTGATAAAAGGAAGAAAAAGAGGGGAAAGCTGTGGTTAGCCTGTACGTAGTGATCAACATTTCTATACCAAACACCAACAAGCAAGAAAAGATAATGCAAGATTTTACAGCAAAGAATCAGACACAAGAACAGCATAGACTCATCTATACTAAAAGAGGTCAGTCTCTCTCTCGGACACACAAACACACACACACATCCATTTGCCCCACACTGCATTCAAAAAGGTCACACATTCGTTTGCAAAAGTTAGGAAAAGATGCATGGGCACACACACTGTATGAACACACGGGTCATGTTTACACATATTAGAGCAGTGGCCAATGTCTGTCTGTCTGTCTGTCTAGCTCTGAGAAGAACAGTGCTGATTAGTGTGAAACAATATATGGAATTGTGCTGTACAGTGTGCGGCAGGGTGTACAGTGTGTTGGTCCTATCAGTGCCGTGAAGGTCAACACACTCGGACACTAAGCAACAGCGTGAGAGCGTGTGTGCCGTTGAGTGTGTGCGTGAGGTAAAGTAAACTAAGAGGCTTTTTTTTTTTCCCTAAATGTGCACCAACAGTGGCTGGGTCTCGCTTTCGGGGGGCTCACCCTCAGGGGGGGGCAGCTGGTACACCACGCAGAGAGAGGAGTACAGGCAGCCCACGAATGACATCAGGCTTGAAAAGTACATCACTCCCTGGGCCCCACCCACCAGTGAGGTCAGAGGTCCCATCGCCACAGAGACCAGGATCTGAGCCAGAAAATACTGGCAGCTGAGCAGAGAGATGTCCACCCCCATCCCTCGTCTGGTCCCTTCCTCTGATGAGCCACAAAACTGAGGGACAAAAGTGCAAAGTTTAGTTATATGATCAATTAATGTGATGCATAACAAATGACAGGGTTAATTGAATAATTCAACATTTTGGGAAATGCACTGCAATTGCTTTCATGCTGAGAGTTAGATGTGAAGATTGACACTCTCATGTCTGCATCCATGCATATGAAACTACGGCCATCATATGGCTAGCTTAGCTTAGCTGGAAACAGGTTCTATTCAAGGTAATAAAATCCAGCTACCAGTGCCTCGAAAGCTCAAGAAATAGTCAGACACACAATCCTCCATAAGACCACCAAGAGTCATTATACTTTGTTTTTTGTACTGATTAAAAAAAAAGATTATATATAACATGCTAATTAAGGAGCTTTAGAGATGGAGTTCATTTAGAGTCTTTGTGCTAGGTTGAGCTAACTGGCTGCTGGCTCCGGCTTGCCGTATAGTTGCAAGAAAGGGGAATTTGAACGTGATACCATGAAGCAACTACAAATGATCCTACACCTTAGTATGACACATATCTAGATACTGACCTGAGGACTCTGGTAGTATTCACACAGCAGAGAGTAAGGCAGCGTGCATAGAGAGGAGAAGAGCACCCCATAGGTGACACAGAGAGAAAGTACCACGTAGAGGTTCGTGGATAGTGTGGCCAGGCCCGTGCCCAAACCAAACGCCAGGTAGGCAAAAAAATATAGAGTGCGAAGAGAGAAACGCTCCTCCAGTTTCTCCAATATGGCTGGAAGTTGAAGAAGAAACAAAGACAAACAGAAGGAACAAATGTAAGCAGACAAATTCCAGGTAAAAATGACAGAGCAGCTGTGATAACGAGTGTAGCTTACCTGAGTAGAAAGCAGCACTGAATGCATAGATGCACATGCCCCAGCAGCCCATGCTAACACCAGCATTGTAGCGCTGGTAAGCCTCGGAGTCATGGGGTGCCTTTGGGTCACCTTCAAACACAACCTCTCCCATAAAGTCAGTGTAGAAGAGCAGCATACCTTCAAAGGACAGCCAGCCTAGAGAGAAACAGTAAGAGCATAACACAAAACACATAGTTTTTAAGGTGTTTTACAGGGTTTAATGTGCAGCTAAGTTTAAAAAGTGATTATTCTCACCCAAAAAATGATTAGTGCATAAACTCCGCAGAGAGGGAGGCATCCTGTAGATGGCTATACACAGCAGCTTCATTGACATTTGGGATTCTCCTGTCTCCACATTCTCACTCAGATCACTCTCATAGCGCACACCATTCAGCAAAATGTTTGCAACCTTCATCGGAGAAAAAAAAGACAGACACTGAGTTTTAAAATGCTGTGGTGGCTACTGACTAAACAGCTTCTGTCATTTTCAAATATGTGTCTGACCTGCTGGCTAAAGGTCACAGTTCTCCTGCGACCATTCTCTAGCCCAACAATCTGGGTTGCCATGGGCTCCTCAATTAGTGCAAGACTCTGGGGTCGCTTCAGGATACCAGCAGAAGAGCCCCGATGTGACCCTGCACCAGGTTGAGCCCCAGCTGTGACCTGAGATGCTCCATGAGATTGCGCATCTCCCTCAGGCTGTGGCGCTTCTGCATCCTGAGCTTCCCCAGCTGGATGAGAGACCACATCAGCCTGGGCCTGTCCCGCAGGATGGCTTACTGCTCCCTGTGTGGACTCGTCAGGAGGAGGGGAGTCTCCTGGAGGCAGGGGGGCAGTGGTGGAGTTGGAGGCCAGGGCCTGTGGTGTCTGCTGACCTGTGTAGCAGTTTATGAGCACACTGTCTATATAGGAGGTTCCCAGTGAGGAGGCAAACTCGTTGATTCCAGTGAGTGAGCTGTCCCGACTAATAAAGCTGCCATATTTTGGTGTGAGGGGGCTCAGGGGCGATATGGGGCTAGTGAGACCAGCACAGAGACGTGCATTGGCACTGCAAGAATGGGCCAGAGGGTCAGAGTTGGAGGGGCGAGCGTTTGTAGAGAAATTGTAGCTGTAAAGACCATCCATATCTTCCTCATCCAGTCCCAAAGCGGATCCTGGGGGAACAGGGGGAGAGGGAGGGAGAGCGAGGCTAGGGCTTTTTAGATGATTTTTGCCAGAGTTTTTGTTAGGTTGGCTCTTTGGTAGGGGCCGCTCGGGGATACTCATCAGAGTCATGGCTGTGGCGATCACCAAAGTGACACTCGTGAACATGTATATGACCCGCAGTTGACCTCCCATCGACCTTCCAAATTGTGTCTGGTCCCAGTTGATGCCGCCTACAATGTAGCCAAATCCACCTCCTAGTCCTGCAGTGCAAGATTAAGAAACAACAAAATTATCATTTGCAATGATTGGTAACTGTTTTAGGTCTTTTTCTCCAAATTATCTTGAAAGAATGGAAGTTTTAGCTGCCATCTGCTATGCTAGTAATATATAATGACAAAGTAACCCTGAGTTTTGGACTGTACAAAGGGTGTTCTTACCTGCCAGTAGTGCATGGATGTTCAGCCCCCGATCCTGGTCCTCAGGGCTGCACACATCCATCATGTAGGCATGACTCGGGTTGTCGGCTGAATCAGCACTGAAGTCCATCAGAACCACACCACACACTGTCAGGATAATTCCCCACTTGTGATTTGATGCTGTGTCAGCCAGCGCACTTCCAATGTCCCGTCCGTTCAGCACCAGGGATAGACCGACCAAAGCCCCTGTGAGGGAGAAAGGCAGAAGAAACTTAAGTTATTTAAACGTCAGTACTATAGTTCAACAGACATCTTGCTAAGTGGGGAAAAAAATCAGGCATGTATCCATCCTTAAAGGGGCACTGTCAATTCACTAGTCATGGAGAGTAGTTTAAAATCAGTCAAAACTGTTGTATAATATCTTAAGTGGCTCTGGAGGAGTCATGTCTAAACAATATTAGTGACATCAACAAAGTATCTCAGTGCATTTACAAGGTAGGAAAGGTCTAACAAAAGATGTGAATCAAGTTGTATTATGGGAAGCATAGAATCCACTTTTTGTGTGTTTTTGCCTACTATTATGGACTAAAAGTCAGGATATCTCAGCCTCTGTTGCATTAGTTTTGATGATTTTTTAAAAAACATTTCTCTCTTAAGTTTACATAAGTAGCGCTTACATAATACCAAATCACTGGAGTACATTTCTTACCTATAGCCAAGGCAAAAATAAAGGGTCTCCTTCGCCCAAACCGGGATGTACAACGATCACTCCATGCTCCCAAGAGAGGCTGAACGAGGAACCCTTCAAGCCAAAGACAGAGGTCAAGGTTAGAGTCCAAAGAGATTGTACTGCACAAGATTATTGCCACTCAGAATCACACGATGATGTATCACACATCCGTGTCCACCAGGTGGTCATCTAGTCTTGCTGTTCACTCACCCAGTATTGGACTAATAAACCACACCAAGCTGTAGAATTGATCAGGCAAGCCCATCTGTAGAAGCACAGGAGTCACATAGGCTGTTTCCATGGCATAGCTAAATTCAATACCAAACAGTATGCAGCCATTGAAGAGCAGTTCTTGGAAGGTACGCCTCGGGGGAAGCTCACTGAGGTCCAGCTGGTCCAGGGGACAGGGTGTGTTGGGCGGCGGAGGTGGCGAAGGTCTTATCAGCTTCCGACGCTTTGGCTGTCTTTGGAAGTTGTTGGCTCTGTGACTCAGGTGCCGAGTGGTGGACGTTGGGAAGCTGGCAGTTTTGGGGAGTGAGCTCCTCCAGATACCTTCCTGAGCTGTGGATAACCTCCCTCCTGGACTGGCCAAAAGGGGGTCACTGGGGGTACCCATGCCCGGAGATGACATCTCTCTCAAGCCAGCTTACACTGAAGCATAAATACAAGGATGAGAAACATTGTCAAGTTAAACCTTGCTTTAGGTTGGGGTTTCACATTAGAGGTCATTCAAGATCATCACAATGTAGCACAGAAGTAATCTGAGTAACTTGCTAATGGTTATGTAGTGCTACCAAGAGGACACTGCAGTCATCAGCAGACAGCAACGATGGCACAGCAATGATGGGCACGACGCACTGCAACCAATGCGCATGTTAGTGTTGTGCGCAAAGCCCATGTGCTCGGCGTGGCAGCAGTGTAGTATGCGGCACCGCTCTCATGAAGCCTGTTTCCATTTTAATTTTTCATGGAGGAAGCTTAAATCGGAAACAATGGGGGCCGCTGGGGGCTTTAATGACGGCTTTCAAGACAGTTACAAGGATTACGCATCATCATCGCTCAGATTTAAACTAAACATTTGATGATTACATATCCTATATGTAGCCACGTAGCCGATCGATTGTTTTTTTTTTAATTATTTTTATTTTATTTATTCGGGTAATGATCCTTGAAATTTTCCTCAATTTGACATGTGGTCCTAAAGGTGGAGATCACACAATCGAGTTAACTGTGTTAGAAGACGAAGCAGGCGTGCAAATTGAAAGATGATAATTACCTTATCGGGGAAGCTCGTCATTTATTGCGGCACACTGTGTAGGTAACCAGACCAAACATTATGATTTATAAAAGAAAAACGATGGATGAATTACGGGAGTCATGATTGTTGTTTTGTTTTTTCCTTTTGATGCAGTCATCCCCCCTGCTCTCTCCTCTCCGTCCCTTCTCCTTCCCCCTCTCCTCCTCTCCCCCCTTCACCGCTTCCTCCCGGTCTCTCCCGTGACGTCACGCCCCTCCCTGCAACATCAGCACCGCCGCGGACAGTCAAAACACATCTGTATCTCCACTGTATCCATCCTCTGAGCTGCAGAGCATGATAATGAGTCAGTCGGTGATTTGTCAGCTGACTGGCTCTTAACTTTGTGCAGGTACATCGATGGATCAAGCACTTTGTTGTCTATCTCTTAGTTAGATAATAGGTTTATAAAGCTTAATGGCACGGTTTACTTATTGGGGGAAATGCCTGCAGTATGTACACATACAAGGAATTTGAGTCTTTCAATGTATTGACACACAGTTTTAATAACAATTTACAGGAAGATAGAATGCAGCAGAAACAAGGGCAACAAAGCTGAACAAAAATAGGTAATAGGTAAGTACATTTAACTATTATGTACATGTCTAAACATTATAGAGCCAAACTAAATAAGTGGAAAAAGCTGAATATATATGTGTAAAACTACTTAAACAGGAAAGGGGAAAACTGCATGTGATGGGGTTACATAAATTGCAATCTTTTTTTTTTTTGTTTAATGTGTATACTTGTGTAAATTATTCATGCGTTTTTCATTTATATTTATGTCACTGGTCGCAAAACCACTGTTGGTTCAATTATACACCGTCTACTACTGTAGTGTGCAAACATGTCTTACTGCTTCTATTCTGAAACAATGAGTTGTGTAATTCAAAATGTTCAGTTTATGATCTTCTTTTACACAAAATCAGCAGGAAATCCTGGAACATATAAAACAACAGTAGACTACTGTTGTAAAGGTTTCTGGTGTATTTATGTGGACTTATGTGGACTTAATGTAACAAATAAAATTAAACTTAAATAAATTAAAGTTAGAATGTCACAAAAAGTGCAAGCAATGTAAGATCAATGAAATACATCTTAAGATAAAACTTCCATTATCCTTGAGGAGACTGTGATGCATTACGATGTCTAAGACAGATAGATGAAGAAAGTGAAACAAATGTCATTAACAATGACTCAGAACCATCAAATGGACCATTTAGTGAGCCAGCATACACAAGACAGGAACTAGCTCCCCTAAAAAGAGTGCAGTCATTATTATGTCATGGCAGACTGCTGTGAGGCTGCAGGTATCTCTTCACTGTTTTTGTTGAAGTTTCTGGGCTGTGCTTGTGTTTTATTAATATATTTGTAAACAGACACCACATTTAGGTTTTTTTTTTTTTTTTAGAAATATATATATATTTATCTTTTATATTTATATATATTTAATATTCAATTCAATTCAGTTTTATTTGTATAGCGCCAATTCATAACAGAAGTTATCTCAGGACACTTTTCAAATGGCGCAGTTATAGACAGAACTCCTTATAGAATTATTTACACAATCCCATTAAAGTTAGCCTAATAACATCCCAATGTTCTGGATACCTTATTTCATTAACTGTATCAGGATGTAACGGTCCCTGTAGAAATACTGAAGTGAGTTTTGGCCTTCCTCTGATAGCAGACTCATCACATAATTGACTTGTAATAAGATTTGGCTCGCAGGTTGTCTAGCTTGATACAGGAGGGATACCCCCTAAGGCCCTGATGTATTTAATTTATTGTCACTGAACCACAGGTTTAATACGTTTTTATCCACATTTTTGTGACATTATTTCTGTTTTGGATAATGGTCAGATATACGAATTAAAATCTAAAGTCTTGATCTTCAAAGTAAGATTTTAGATAATATTTTCATCTGATATGCAATAGTACGAAGTGGCAGAAGATAAAAATCAAATTCCATTAAAATTGTAGCCTACTAAAGTGCAGCACAGTGATTAAATGTTCACTGGTTTTCAAAGAGAGTAAAAGCTGAACACAATGGCTTTGCTTGTCTCAGGGGTTAATAGAGCACAGACAGGTGGGACAAAGGCAACAGCAATAAAAGGCAAATCTCAGTGATGGAAGAGAGCAAACAAAAGCCATGTAATAAATCTCATTACCTTTGAGCTCAGTTATAACACACCTTATGCAACCTACATTATGAAAAACTGGTTGTTTTCCTATATTCAGTCACTTTGAGTTAATATTAGTACTGGTAAGGCAGGCTTATCGGCTGTAAGGAAAGAGAAAACTGACATTAATAGTTTATTAAGGAAAAGAAATTGATTGCAGTTATGAGATGCATTTGATTAAAGTTTCCCTCACGAAGCCCCGCCTCCGATCCTCACACCGTGCGCTGTAATTGGCTGTTTGTTCAGCACCAACAGAATCTGATTGGATGCAGAGTTCAGTGGGCGTATCAGGATGCAGTTGTTTTGTAACTGTTGTGCGGGCGTTACTCAATCGTAACTATAAGACTTCACTCGGTACAAATTAAACTTTGTTGCCAGTTGACAGTCCGTGCTGAAAATGGCGAAAGTCGACCTCGCTCAGGTTGGGAAGAACCTGCTGAAGAGCGCTGAAACTGAAGAGGTAAGTCACAAACTGGGTAACCTGTTAAGTTTGTACAGCTTTCCTCTTATTTGTCACATCTGCTCGGTTGGTTGGTTTGTCTTTTTAATTAAATATGCCCTCTTTAGATGTGTATACAACCTGTTAGGTTGACTTGTTCCCTGCTGAGATCATACTGTGTTAAACCTGCCATTACCTCGCAGCATTGGGGTAATTGATGTCAAATGACGCCTCTAGGGTGACATACTGGTGTCCTGAAGGGAAAACACGTGAATATGAATCATAACATAGCACTGTTATAATCTATGATGTATGAATTCACAGATAATGGATAAAATTAGTACAATCTGCCTCCACCCCATTTCCCATATGTTGCCTATGTGTCACCTGTTTAGTGGTTTCATTGTGAGTGATTCTCTCTCTCTCTCTCTCTCTCTCTCTCTCTCTCTCTCTCTCTCTCTCTCTCTCTCTGTGTGTGTGTGTGTGTGTGTGTGTGTGTGTGTGTGTGTGTGTGTGTATGTGTGTGTGTATTTCAGAGTGTAGAGCTCCAGTCTCTGTGGCAGGACCAGCCGGTGGTCTTGTTCTTCCTGCGCAGGTTTGGCTGTCAGGTGTGTCGATGGATGGCATCAGAGATCAGCAAACTAGAGCCGGACCTGAGAGCCAGCGGTGTGGCCCTGGCAGGCGTCGGGCCAGAAGAGTTCGGGCTGGCAGAGTTCAAGGAAGGAGGGTTTTTCAAAGGATGTGAGCAGTACTTGCACTTGTAATACAAACAATGTTATTTTTCTTGTTTGTGTTGCGCTAACACAACAGCAAAATATGTGGTGCTTTAACTGTTCTGGAAAACACAATATTGACACACAAGGTAGAACCGGTCTTAAATCTGGTCCCCTAAAACTATATTTACACTACAGGCCTAATTGATCAGTTTATTGACCACATTTTATGATAGAAAACCATCCAATTGCACAATGTATTTTATTTTTTAAATCAAACACCTGTTTTAGGGCCAATACTTAAATTCTTTGATTGGATTAATAGTCAAATAAATTAAAATGTTCCCATCCTGGTTTTGTTTAAATGGAGGCACCCTCCCAATTGCATTGGATTCGATGAGCAGTATTACAACAACAGTGAAATAGGATCTGACAGTGCAGTTCACATTGCTGTTAGTTGGCCACAATTCAAATATTTATCACATTTTGAACCACTTATGAGTGGACTCTGTCCAGGAATAAAAATATAAGGATCAATTTTCTGGCAACTTTGAAATAAGCCGATCTATGTTAGACTAGAAGGAAAATTAAGTTGCACAATTATTTTCTTTACTTAGCTGCATTGTCACTTATGTAACAGGGAGTTTGAATGTATACCTGTGTGAAAAGGATTCAGACATGCTTATTGAGTCCATCATCAATCATCTTCTCTTCCAGCTCTTTATGTTGATGAAACAAAGAAAACCTACAAGGATTTGGGCTTCAAAAGGTGAGTACAGTAAAACCACATTCCCTTAAAGCTGCTTCTTTTAAATGAATGACACTTTGATCCTGATATGAATAGCTTCCATTTGTCAAAGATGATCAGTCTTAACCTTAATTATATACTTTGGAGCTTCAGCAGTTAGTTGATTAATTGATTAGTTGAACAATAGAAAATTATTGTGAAGCTGATTTGATTGTTTTAGTCATTTTAGTTGCTGCTTTTCTTTGACTAATATTATAGTAAACTTAATATCTTTGCATTTTGGACTGTTGGACAAATACATCTCTGTGTGCTGTGGGGAAAAACAGGCATCTTTCACTTTTCATTAGGTTTAAAAACTCATATTAATCTCCTCTCCTACCTCAAATTGTTGTTGTTTCACACTCTAGGTACACAGCCATAAGCGTGGTTCCTGCTGCTTTGGGGAAGAAAGTACGAGATATAGCTGCAAAGGTATGTATTTTGACGGTTATATGATTACTTCACCTCATATGTCCTGTGGTCACAGGAGTAGGGGCAAAGTTGTTCAGAACCAGGCATACACACTGACCTCTGACTGCATGTTTCCTCTGCTGCTTTCAGGCCAAAGCTGACGGCATCCAGGGAAACTTCTCAGGAGATCTGCTGCAGAGCGGAGGCATGCTCATTGTGGCCAAAGGTACTAGAGGGGGTCTTTAGTGAGGCTCGGTTTTGCGAAGGTGTACAAGTGAATTGAGAAAAGTAGTGTTAAAGAAAACCTACTGAACCGGGCGGGGGGGGGCTCAACATGTAAATGACCTTGTAGCGTGGCATTGATAACAGTTTGTTCAGTCAGTTAAATGATGGTCAATAAATGGTCAAAGAGATGCATTTATTCACTTTGTCCTCTAGAGGGCAATACTGCTTCACATCATCGTACTAAGCTCTCCAAACCACTCTACCTCAATGTCAGAGCTTCCCAGGGTTGCTGACTTTCCTCACTTCTTCATTTCTTGTATCCATGTGTGTATGGATTTAACTATGAGACTACAAGAGGAAAAGGAGGGGAGAGACACAGTCCTTCCTAATTTGCAGATCAAGATTAGGAAAGCAAATCATTTGCTGGGAGACTTGGCACTATGATTTGTGCATAGCAATGTCAAAAAAGGCTCTAAAGACGGCACATAAAAAGACATTTTAAGCAGGTAAATACAGTTTTTTAGGAAGCAATTTAGCCAAAGTTATTGATTAGAAGCTTTGAGGTAAAACCAGAATGTATTGCTAATTTTTGGAGGACTTTACCTTTTTTTACTGTCTGAATTCTGGTATTTATATTATTGATATTATTATAGTATCAATTTTTGGTCACCAGTAACACCTGCATATGAAATCAGTGAAAATAATAAATTATCTGTGCTGTATTTTATTACTGCTTTTATGTGTCAGCCGTAGTCATGAGTTCACCAAAGCAAATTCATAACAATCTTTGATTGTCATGCATAAAATTCATAAGCTGCACTCTTGACGATTCCTCCTAAATAAATTTTGCTCTGTTAAGGTGGAGAAAAGGTCCTACTGCACTTTATCCAGGATTCACCCGGAGACCACCTACCTCTGGAGGATATTTCTAAGGCTTTGGGTATCTCAGCCACGGTAAAAGCAGGACAGAGGCCGGTGGTAAGACATCCCATAAACACACAACAAGGATACAATACATCTTGTTCCCTTTTTCCCCCTCAACTTAAATTGTTGGTGCAGTTGCCTTTAACGCTGTATGGTGAAGCGCGAAATAAAATTGAAACAAACGCTATCATTGTGCTTACTAAAGGACACTGGACTTTCAGCAGACTGTTTTTTTACGTCAGTAGCAACACACGCATCAGAGTAGCCTCTTCAGAGACAATTTCACACCTATTACTCCATCTTCATGGTCTGTCAGTGTCTGTGTCATAGGCCCCCAAAACCCTTTAAACTTGACTGATGATCTCAGTCTGTACTTAATTGTACTTAAAAAATGCTCTGCAAACACAAATAGAGATGTTATAACACAACTATCATATAAGTAGTCCAACATGGAAAACCAGTGTTGGCAGCCTTAACCTAGATTTATGAAATATATATTCTTGTATTTTCTCTAAATAATTTAATGTCAAGTATATCATGCAGGAATTAATAGCTTTAACATGTTTGTGAGTAAAAAATAAAAACATATTACCTTTGAGGACAGGGTGGTGAAATGTGACATTCACTTATGAATGGCTTTGGAGTCTGAATCCTTCTCATTACTTTGGTGCAATCTCACAACAGTTTTGTGGATCAACATATGTCAAATGCAAAACAAATATAAAATAAATATAAAAAGTCAAGAGCAAAAACTCTGGGGGCATGTAAATATTTACAGAACATATGTATTTATAGCACACCGCAATTTATTACTCAAAAACACTATAGATTCTATCTTTAAGAACAGAAAATAAGCCACATTGTTGATTCTGGTTCGGTGGTGTCAATATATAATCATAAAATACAAAATACAATGTAGAACTCAGTCACTGATCTATACCATAAAAGCACATTTAGCTAACAAATTGCCAGTCCAGACCGACAGTGGTTTAGTCCTGTGATCATCAGAGCTTTCGGCATGCCCCAGACATCCAGCACATGGCCTTCCCTGCACTTGCCCCCTGGCTCTGTTGCTTGTTTCCCACAAAACTCACTATGTCAGATTGCAACATGTACAGTAGGCTTCCCCATGACCTGTCTGAAGACCAACAGATGTCATCACTGCAGCCCAGAAACAGAATAGACCTTGTTTTCTCTGACGGGGCCAAAATGTGGCAGAAAGAAGTTCGAGTCACAAGCTATCTGATATGCTTTGTTAACAAAGCGAGGTCATTGGCTGATCCGGATAGAACCAAGTACTGTCGTCTTGTTCAAACCTTTCCTGTTCAGACAGCTGATAGACAGTGTTTATTTTTCTTATCTGCGTCTAGAGACGGAAAACCTCCAAACTAGATTTCCCTGAAGAACACTCTGTGTCTCAACTTTTAGTGCAATGATGCTCAGGCCCCATAAACAAGACATGTTTAACGCTTGGTCTAGACAAAGTTGCCTGCAGATGGGGTTTTATCCCATAAATTGGAGAGCAACTCACCTTATCTGTAAGTAAGCCACAGATAAGTGGTTAAAAGTCAACAACACTGGGCTTCACAGTGGCCTAGACAACACATACTTCACCACGATCCTTTTGCATACCACTCTCCTCTACCACTCAGGGTCATTAATAGACCAAAGGCAGTTTCCAAAAATGGACTTCAGCAACAGAACATGAAGACTGGTTTACTTTGGTCCTTTTTATCAGATTCTGAATTTGAATTCGTACCAGACAAGAGAAAACAGAGATGTCAAAATATTATTTCGCTCAGAGACTCATTTGGCATTAACCCTTTTGTTGACATTGACTTTACTTCCTCATTGTTTTGTTAAACCAAAAGTAAATACTTCATGTTTTATACACTATATGGGCTTTGCATGAACAATACTCACGTTCTCCCTTGTTTTATTCCCCTATGAACAAACTGTTACAGAAGTCCAATAACTGAGATTTAAATTCACTGCTTTGGTATTTGGGAGGGTAAAACTACACAGCACCAGTCACAGATACAGAGCATTTAAAAGTCCAATGTAGCCATGTGGTGTCATTTTCTCTCTTGGTTTTCTGAAACATGTCATCAGTTCAAAATCATTCTTATATGCAATTCACATAAAATTTTCACTTATATCTCTGTGTAACATTTTCTCCTGCTAGTTGAAATGTCTCACAGCAAAAAGAGAAAAACACTGCAATGCTATCAACTGAAGTAATAATGGCCAGTGTTTCTTCTTGCACCATCATCCTCCATCACTAAGGAGTTAGAAAATGTGTGGGGCAAAAATGGGAGTTTCATGAAATGACAGGAGAAAGGACGTTTCTGTTCTAATTTAGAGTTGAGATTAAAACTGTTATTGAGTCACCACATTGATCAATACCCTTGTCAGCTGTCTGCAGATACATTATGACCATTTTGTGGTTTGGGATAGTAAAAATATTTCCTCTTGGTTTGGGAATATTTGTGTTTTTGTGGTTGTGTTGTAATTTATATGTCGACAGAAGCCATTTTTCCCTCCTGGAACATGAACCTCGCTCTAACCATTAATCTGTAGTTGAGGTGTTGAGGTGAAGTTGATAATTAATAGTTCTGTTATATAAACATGTTTCACAAAACTGGATTTGTGGGAGATTAGTTGGAGCAGATTGACTGCCAATAACTGAACTTACAGCATGTCCACACGGGAGGAGTTAGCTCTCTGTCGATGTCTCCACAGGATGCATTCACGCACAGTATTAAGTGTAGTTCACTCACGTCTCAGCAGTCACTGTAGTTACTCGCATAAAATGGAAAAATATAGACTTGAAGTGTAAAAATATGCTTTACGTGCGTATAGCGCAAGTGATACGCGGCCTGTGGATTGATTAAAATAGGAGCGAATCTGTTCTGTCAGACACTTTCTGCGTAGAAAAGCTGTTCAACCTTAAGTGTGAATAACATCCAACACCATGTAAATACATGCCTCTTGCTCATTATTTAATGTTTAACCCTTGTACTTTCTCTTGCAGTGCAACGATGATGTTTGTACACGATGAATACCGTCACATTGGGAAGCTGAAATGGAGATTTAACAAGTGGAATATCAGTAAAATCCTGAAGTGAAGATAAAACTTCTGCCAACATTCTTGTGATTTCTGTGTCACAGTTATATAATAATCTGCAACAGTGACATTCCTTTATAATCGTTTCAATCAAATCTTTTAACACATTTTAAATTTACTTGCACTTATACTGATCATGATTGGTTTTTTTTTTATTGGCTATTTATGACTTTGCAGTTGCATTTGCAGTTTGTATTAAACTCAGAGTTTCTAAAATAAATGTATTCTTTTTTCTAATGAATAACAATCTAATTATAGTAAAACTTTACAAACAATACTTGGCTGCAGTTTCACGCAGACATGAGTGGAGTTTCAGTAAAGGTGAGGGTGTACTAACTTTTTTACATGACAAACACGTATCTAAAATACAAGATCAGTGTTTTGTTTATTACAATAATTATTCAAAACTCTTATGGCTCCACCATAGGATTACACATCACCATTATAGTTCCCTTCACTCGCTTTATTAATCTTTAGAGTATATCCAATGCAGTGTTCATCAATGTATTGACCAACTTCAGAGTCACTTGCACTTAAAATGTGCTGCATTTCTGAACTTTGGACAAATTTCCCTAAACTGTAATACAGATTCAGGTTCAGAGCCTTACCTGCCACCATAACTCAACATCCTTCCTATCAGAACTATACCTAAATATGTGTGGGCTAGCTGAACGCTGCTTTAGAGGTCCAGTGTGGAACATTTAGGAGGATCTATTAGCAGAAATTGTATGGTAACATGAGCCTAGGTTCATATACAAGAATATACCTGACAGTATGACTCTGTAAGATGAAGATGAACACAATGAGTGCTTTTAGGGCTTATGCATCCAATTGATCTTTTTGATGTCGCATGGATGAGAACGAATCCTACATGATTTATATATAAACAGATAAAATTAAAATGACACATTTAAAGGAGAGACTTGAGATCGAACCAGTTGAGACAGTCACTTTAATGGCAATCTAGATAATTACGTAGCAGCAGGAACATTCATAAAACATCTTTAACGTCTGAATTCTTGCAAAGCAACAATGTTATTTCATAAATATTCATGTAGATAAATAAATTCCTCTGATTGGTTTACAGATGAAACATGTTTATATATAACAAAAATTTAGTTGTACTTGGCTGGTAATTTCAAAACGACACAATTTCACCATATAAGTAAATGTGAAGCTAGAACTAAGGTAAGAAATGTACGCTTTCTTTCTTACCTGATATGAATCCTTTATATGTAAATACTGCAGTATAGAACATCGAGTATCTACAATAACACATTGTATATTATGTACCCTTTGTGTTCAGTCTACAGTGTTGAACTGTTTTACTCTTTTTGAGGAAAACCAGACAAAACAAGTCTAAACTGTTGCCCTTCAAATGGTAGTCCAATGTTACACTGTAGCTTATGATTTATCCTCCAGCATTTCTTTGAACCAGACATGATAAGTGTGCCTTGTTGTTTAAAGGAATAGTTTGACATTTGGAGAAATACGCTTTCTTTGCTTTCTGGGGGAGAGTGAGATGAGAATTTTGATACTACTCTCATGTCTGTCTGTTTAATATAAGGCGGCAGCCAGTTAGCTTAGTATAAAGACTGGAAGCAGGGGTAAATAGCTAGTCTAAATCTAAAAGTAACCAAATCTGCCTGACCAATCTGTACAAAACTATTAGTAAGGCTACTAGTCCTAGCCAAGAATCCAGCAGAAAACCCACTGTGCGATGGCAAATAGTTGATTTTAGATGTTTTTGGTATGAATTAAGCAAATTGAGATACAACATGTTAATTGAGTGAGTTTTACTGTTGAACAGAGCCAGACTTGCTAAACTAATCTAACCGACTGCTGGCTGTAGCTTTTATTAAATAGTCTACCAGAAAAAGCTAATTATTAAAGTTTATTTCCCCAAATGTCTAACGTTTGGTATCAGCACTTTCTTTCTGAGTAGAACAGTCTTTCATTGGTGTTTCCTCTCCCTGCTAAACACAACAGTATTTGCCAATATGTGAAGACTGAGAGACAGACTGAGAGTGTAAAGCTTATATGCACATTCAATTCGGCCTAAAAAGTCGTGTTCAGTTCACCAAGGCATCCTGAATGTGACCAAGCAAACATTCAAAACCAGCTGTATGTGTTTGTTTGCTTTCTGCTGTGTTTGAGAGCTCTATTTGGCACAAAAAACGGTAACTACCTGCAGCCACTACCTCCATCCTCTCTCATGTGTTCTGTTCTGCTTTGATTCTCCTGTCATTACTTGTTAATAAAGGTAGAAAATAACAGTCCTGGCCCTGGCCATCTATTTAATGACAAGCTCCATTCTTCAGTGAGTCTGCCTGCGGGGCTCGTGGTTCGGCTACAGCGGTCACCATGCTTCAGCACACCGCACTTCATCCTTTCATCTTACACAGCACTGATCAATGCGAGATCAGAGGGCAAAGCAATTCATCTGCTGCTTATCCATATGTGAGTGTATCTGAGGGGGGTTTCTTCTCCCTTCCCCATAGCATGTAATTGGCTATGCCCAGAGGCTAAAAGTCTTGTTATCACTGTGTTCGCATCTCCTCTCAGGAGGTCGTGTGGTGAAGGAAAAAACCGTTCTACAAATCAATCAACATGTCGAGTAAAATGTAAACTTACAGATATTATACAAGCAGACATTATAATTTTGAATAAAGGTAAGCGCCATGTAACAAATGGCACATGTTAGGAGTTTTGCTAGCTATATATCAGCCCATTATGAACACTTGGGTGCCTCTCGAAATGTTGTAAAAGGTGGAATGTGTGAGAGGGAGCGAGTGAGCTTCAAACACACAACACAGCTGTGATTACCTGTATCTCAACTTGGCAGTAACAAATAAAGCAATATAGTGATATACACTGGTTCATCATCATTATTATCACTCTCCAACAGGTGTTTTCTCACTAGCTAAAAAGTAGTAGGCCACCATTATTTTTCAAAACATCTGGAATATAGTTTCTTACAGCAAACTGTCATGACATATGCATTTCTGAGTATTGAGCGACAAGCATTGATAAAGAAACTTAGAAAAAAATATCCTTCAAAAAGTACTAAATAGCTTTGTAAATTTTAAATGTTCATCCACTCTGTAAGTGTAAAAATGTTAAAAGCCGCAGCTCTTGCAGAATGTTAATTTAAGGTTAAAGCTGCAAAGATTTAACAGTCTTAAAGTCTTTAGATAATTTGTTTCATGTAACAGTGAATGACCAGACTCTCCGAGTGTGACTAATTCTATCGTAGCTTTACTTCAGCAAAGCCCCGAGCTTTCATTTACTTCATACTCTTCAGCCAGAGTTGTTCACTATTGTTTCTTCTGAAGTGGCACAATGTCTTGAAAACAATACATCAGAGGAAAGACACCAAGGCAACTTAGTGCCAATGATAATGGATAAATCACAAAGATCTGCACAAGAGATTTTTTTTTAAGGAATAATTCAAGAAAGGCCGGCGAAGCGGTTAAAGCCAGCCATGTAAGCTTTTACTTTTTCACAAGGTCTTCACAAGTTTTCTATGTAGCCTTTTTATTCATGTACCCACTCGTCATCTGTCGTCGGACACAGCAAAAAAAAGAACAAGTGACCTACTCGTCCAGAGACAACACTTCTAACTTGAGAAGATACTCAAGCAAGTTTCTTTTTTTTATATTATACGAAACTAGGGTGTAGTCCAGGATGACAGCCATTTTAAATACATCTACAGTGTATGCAAATATCTGTGTCCTCACTCTGCCCCAAATAAATTGGAATAAGCAGAATATCTCTGTGGGTTTAAGAAGTACAACTTGTTCTTTTGATTTGAGTTGCCCATGTCAAGAAATAAATATCTAAACTTTCTACCAGACACGACACTTCAGCTCGGGGTTCATTGGACTGCCTTTTTGACACTGGAAAGCTTCTGAGAAAGCTTCAAAATTCTGGAGTGATCCAAGCACCCTGAAGACAAAAGAAAAACAAAACATTATCATGGTGCTAAAAGCTAAAGTCTGTTATGAATAGAGGCGCACTGCTAAGTAGTGAGTCCAGCTTCCAAGTCCTCATAAGTAGACCAGAGAATGGAGCTGCACTGATCCCAGTGCTTAAATGAGTTGTGCTTTTGTACAACAAAATATTTTTCCGGCGGGAGTCTTGGGCTTATATTTATAGTCTGGTGAATCTTTAAATTTTAAAGAGGTAAAGTGCCAGCTGAAGTATATGGCTGTGTGGAGACTAGAGGAAAGGTGAAATACTAAATTTGACAAACAAATTAATTACAATTAGTATAAGACAATAATTAAACCGACAAAAATACATTTTTCGTTGGACACTTTGGAGGCAGAAGAAACAAACTGTGAATACAACACCGTCACCTTTTAAGTTGATATGGAAAACTTGTTAGGAAGCAGTTGCTTATTTAAATGTCTGGCAGTTGTGGATCAAAAATATGAATTTAAAGTCACATTTCTGGCCACCCGGTGAACATAGGTATAATACTCACTCTCTTTTTAGCTCTGTTTTTGTTCTCCACCGACTTATGAGAAACATGTCTGACTTAACCAAAACAGTGAAGTTTCAGAACCAAAAATAAAAATAATTAGATAGGCACTTGTAGAGCGCAGACCTCCAATAGTTCTGTCTTCTATGATATGCAAATCTGCCCATCGTCCCCTTTAATTACAACATTTCTAACAACTGATCTATCTTCCAATGTTAATGAGAGTGAAAATTAATTCAGGTATCTGCTCATTGATTTGGATCCACTCCAAAAGGAAATTGGCCTGTACTTCTTCCTTCTACCAAGTTTCATGAAAATCAGGCCAGAAGTTTTTCCGTAATCCTGCTGACAGACAGGCAATCAAACAGTGCCGAGAACATAACCTCCTTAGCAGGGCTAAAAGACACCAAGTCAATCTGTAGAGGTGGGGGATTCTTCACATGCAGTCATGTGGTTTACTGTTAATATAAAAATATGAATTGCAGACTCTTTATCTATTATTAAAAACTGGATCTGGATGGTATTTTGAAACTTATCTTATTATTTTTTTAACTTATTTGTTATTTGATGTATCGATTTAATAATGTCAGACAATGTACGGAGTGGTAGTTTAATCAGTAATTAAATCAATCAAAGTACCTCAAATATTCTTATTGGTTCTGAAATATTTATGTGAGGATACTAACGCTCCTTACCTGTATTCTAAGGGACTGTGTGAGTCAGTCTTGATGGAC